ACAACACAACTTACGACACGGCTCAACTGGGTCCCGGTTTTTACCGAAGGTGGCTGGAAGCGCGTCCCCGGCCTGAGCGGTGCTAATCTTTCGTTCGAACTTCACGAACTCAGCACCACTCAGATGAACTTGCCAGACCTTCAAAGTTGAAGTCGATCTTACCAAGTTGTCCCACGAAAGACGAAAGACGAAATTCAAAGTCTCGAAAAGTCAAAAAGTCCCGAAAAGTCGAAAAGTCTCAAAAGGTCAAAAAGTCCCGAAAAGTCAAAAAGTTTCGAAAAGTCGAAAAGTTTCAAAAAGTCAAAAATTCTCGAAAAGTCGAAGTAGCTGCGTGCGTTTGTTTCCTTTACCTTCTTGACTGTTTGACTTTTTGGCTTTTCTCACTTTTTACTTTTGGCGTTTTGCTTGGTGTCTTGCAAATAGATCGTCGCTAAAAGGATTTAGCGAGCTTAGGGAAGGAAGGGGGTGGAAAGAATGGAGATACGCCTTATACATCCTTTGCAGCAGTTTCGAGACTAAGCTGGTGAACTAGGCCTGACAAGACAAATGGAGCTGAAGACTGTCTACGAGCGCTTGTTCTTCCAGTACAACTACGGGTCTAGTGTGCCAAGTTAACAAGACCGAACTAGGATTAAAGCTTGGATCCAAATCCCTCCTAAACAAATGGCCTTCTCAAGTGTGCCTGAGTCCAGGTCCGGGACATCTATTGACAAGAACACTTTTTAGGAATGTGCATGGTCTCAACTCCTGTCCATTCTCAAGGCTCCTTGAGTTGGAAAAGGATGAGAACACTGCAGCCTGAATCTTCTGGGTGACTGCCGTAGATTGGACCCGGCTGGAAGGGCAGCTGGAAATGGATCACGATCACCTCTGGAAAACTGATAAACTATCCCTTTGTTCATCTGATTTCAATCGATCAAATCGATCGAAAAAAAAGACGCAAGTCAAAGGTGTCAAACCAATGTCACAGCTCTGTAAACAAGGCTTGAATCTGCCTTCGGAAGAGCTCCCGAGCAGCTTGTCTCAGGATAAAGGCCTGTTTGGGGGGGCAGAGTTTGAGTGTTGCTTAGCAATGTTTCAGTCAATGCACATGATAGCCCGTTGCGATCACGACATGCAGCACATATAGAAAGGGGTTTGCTCAATCCGCGACATCGCAGCGGGCGACCTCGCCTTGAAGGCAGCTTCCAAGCTGGCATGGGGCCTCGAAACCAGCCAAAACTCTTGCCATTCCGTTCCTAGGAACAAGGATGCTACTAGGAACAAGTGCATCGCTTCTAGTAACAGGTGCCTTACTAGTAGTAACAAGGATGCTACTAGGAACAAGTGCATCGCTAGTAGGAGCAAGGACGCTACGATCGGGGCACCACGCTTCCCTCCACGCCAACCCCAAACACGCCTCCAAGACCTCCACGCCAATGCATCGGTAGAGAGCCTCGCTGGTCCGTGCCTTTCGTCGGGTCTTCATGTACTCGACAGCTCGAAGGCGGAAGAGCCAAGGCTCCTCGCGCGAGGAACAACCCCTGGCATCGACACCCACGAGCGATGGCCTCCAACCTAAGAGCGAAACAATTTGTCTGTTTGGGTTTTGAAGAAAAAACTGTCAGGCTTCGATGTGTTTGTCTGCACGCATGGTGACAAACATTGAGGACAAAAACCAGCACACTGTGTTTCATGTCAACTCAATGGCAAAGGCAGCGCTCCCCATCACTCCACCCGCGCAAGCCAGGGCTGGGGTCATTTTGACCTTTCAGGCTTCTAGAGATCACACCATTCGCCTTGGGCGACCGAGAAGCATTGGCCGAGGAAGCTGGCATTGAATCTGGTCTCAGCACTTTCGCACTTTCGAAACGAGGCTCGGACCGGTGGAAGCTGCTGCTTCGGTTTCTTCGAAACCTGCACAGATTGTCGACCAGGAAATGCAATGCTTACAGCGCCGACGCTTCGGTGAAGGCGTGTGTTCGCTGCCTCAGGTTGCCAAAGGTGCCTCCAACAGCTGAAACACCGAACAGCGCTCATGTGGGGAGCTCGCGAAAAAAGAGGCTGGGTCACGGTTTCCAATACATTTCTTTACTGGGGATCAACTTTTCTATCTATTTCGGGGTCTATATAGCATCTGTAGAAAAAAGGAAGTGCAAACTTGATCCTGCTTGCTTTGATGCACTTCTTGCATTTGTTCAGCACATTGTATGATTTCTGGTTCTCTGATCACTTATGTTTGCAAAGTTGCAAATGCTGGATCCGACAAAGGCCGACAGTACATTTGAATGTCTTCTTCATGATAAGCAATGGCACTGTCAGTGAATTTTTTTGCGTCCATAACCCAATAGCGATGGCCTCCAACCTAGAATGGATGGCCTGCAACCTAATAGCGCTGGCCTCCAACCTAGAAGCTATGCCTCCAACCTACTAGCGATGGCCTCCAGCCCAATATAATGGCCTCCAACCTAATAGCGATGGCCTCCAACCTGATAGCGCTGGCCTCCAACCTAATAGCGATGACCTCCAACCTAATAGCGATGGCCTCCAACCTAAAAGCTATGGCCTCCAACCTCATAGCGATGGCCTCCAACCTAATAGCGATGGCCTCCAACCTAATTGCGGTGGGCTCCAACCTAGCGATGGCCTCCAACCTAATAGCCATGGCCTCCATGGACTGCAACCAATTGCCGATGGCCTCCAACCTAATAGCGATGGCCTCCAACCTAATAGCGATG